CGAAGAGGATCTTGGCCTTGAGCATCGCCGTGCGCCGCCCGCAGGACCCCCGGAGCCCGCCCAGGCGCTGTCGGGGCGCGCGCCGTCGCCAAGGCGGAGCGGAAACTGCCGCGCTGATTGGCTGCCTTCGTTTCCATGGCGACGGGAGCGGCTCGCGGGGGCCGACGGGAGTGGGTGGGTTCTGGATGCGCGAGGCTGGGCGCCTCAAGGGCTCCGGGGGCGGGTCACCGCGGCCCGGGCTGGGCGGTGCGGGCTTCGGGCTGAAAGTGGGCGTGCAAGGCAAGGAGGCGGGTAGGAGGGAAACAAAATCCCGGATCCAGACTCGCTTCTGAGCGGGGAGCCCCGCAGAGCTCGCGAGTCGGACCTTTCTCTGTAGAGAGGGGACGGAATTGCTGGTCTCTAATCTTTATTCCACCCTGTAACCCTGAGAGCTCAAACAGGCCGAGTAGCTGGTGAGCTGGGGTTGGAACCAGGCATCTACCGCCTTTATCACTCTGGCGTGATACTGTCCACATTGAGAACAGATTTCTCTCGGTCCTGGCCCCATCTAGAAGAGGTGAAGGGAAAAGCGAGTCTCTGGTCTCCGTAAAGGAATTCACCACTCACCGTCATTCGGATGATCTGGGAGAAACCAAAAGGATAAGGCCCTGGCGTGGAGTACAGGTGTCTGGAAGCATTGCTGCTAAATTCAGTTGTCAGCCTTAAATGGCGGAGCCAGTCCAGAATTTCGCGTGAGGCCGTGAAATTAAGTGTCTATGTGCCAAGAGTGCTGAGACAAAGTATGAGAGCCCAAAAAAGTGCTGGCATGACAAAAAATACAAAGGAAACCCAATACCAAATCTTTAACTTTGGGGGGGCCGGCCCCGCACGGTGGCGTACTGGTTAAGTGCGCACGCTCTGCTGCTAGCGGCCTGGGTTCGCATCCTGGGCGCACACCGACTCACTGCTTGTCAGGCCATGCTGGTGCGGCATCCGGTATAAAGTGGAGGAAGATGGTCACCGATGTTAATCCAGGGCCAGTCTTCCCCAGGGCCAGTCTTCCTCAGCAAAATAAGAGGAGGATAGGCACGGATGTTACCTCAGGGCTGATCTTCCTCACACACACAAAAAATCTTTACGTTTTGGTAGGCTAGTTATATAGTCTTTGAATTACAAAGAACCGCTGAGTGAAGTCTAAGGAAGAGTCTACCTCAATTTCAAGATGTCATGAATTGATTGATTGAATAAGTACCTTTTGCAGGCCTACTGTATACCAGGCACTCTTCTAGGTACTGGGGATGTGCCTGTACCTCTTGAAATTTTCATTCCAGTGAAGTAGATGGATATTAAGTAAACAATACTCTCAGGTAGAGACAATGTTAGGTAGTGGTAAGAGCTATGAATAAAAATAAATCACTAAAGAGTTAGAGTGTGATGGAGCCAATTTTGGACAGGGTAGTCAAAGCGAGACAGTGGTGCAGAGGTGATATGGATACACAAAGCTGAGCTATGAGAGAGCTCAAACAAACCATGTGAACCATCTGGGGGATGAGCAGTCCAGCAGAACAGCAAGGGCAAAGACACCGAGGAGGAAATAAACTTGGCATGTTCTAAGAACAGCCCAGAGGCCCAGTGAGGCTGGTGCAGGAAGATCAAGGGAGAGAGTGGTAGGGGATACTGTTGGAAAGATCGTGTAAGACTTTGGGAATTTATTCTAAGGCCGATGCAAAGCTTGTGCCAGGATTGTATTTGGCTACATGTACTAGAAACTCCACCACAGCGATTTAATCAAGGGAGGGATTTATTTTTCTCTCACATAACGAGGAATCCAGGCATGGGCATTCAAGGGCTGCTGCAGCTGCTCAAGGAGCAAGATCTCTTCTCCTTCCCTGTCCGGATGTCTTGGGTGTGGCTGTTCTACCTTTGGGTATTTGCTTTCTAGGCAGGAACAAACGAGAAGAGCAAAGGGCAGAGGATATATGATGCTACAGTCTCCCTTTTCTC